ATTTGAGCTGAAAACATGCTTATAGATCAAGAGATTAGAAAATTACTGTGTGACGCTGAGAGCGACTGTGTGACTGTGTGGGCTGCTCGCTGAATATTATGTCTTTTGAAAGGGCTCTTGGCTGGTCAAAGAGCAGGCTGTAGTGAAGAGGAAGACTACCTGGGAGTACATTCATCTGATCTTCCACATCAAGCATCGTCTAATTGACTTGCTCAGGAAGGCTCTTAAACTTCCAGTCCAGTGCTATTTCTCTACTGTAACTGTTCCATGGTCAATAGACTTTCCACACATGCGACACCTCCGATGGAAAAAGCCCAGCTCGAATGGTCACTAAGATGATACACTCGTTTCTGCTGACAAGAGCTGTCGCAATTGCTACATAAATACCCAAACACAATTATTTAAGCTGATCACAGTGATTTTCCACAGTTGTTTTCTGCAACAAAAACACTGTGATTTGAGGACGTTTTCATCAGCTGGGTTAAGGCAAATGCATGTAGATAAAAGAAAGAATAAAGCGCATTTATCATGAAAACTCATCAGTACACTGTTAGAAATAAAGGTGCATTGTTCGTTTATCAAGACAAAACAATGTAAATGTTCCCTCAAAGGTACTACAGTTGTTTTATGGCCCAATTGTGTACCTTAAATAAGTTTTTCCCAGGTGAAAAGTACAGATTTGTACCTTTTCATGATCTAATGTTTTAAAACAGAACAATAAATTAAAGAGCCTGGAGACGAGACGGGGTGTGTGGAGTCAATACAACTTAGAAAATATAATTTCAATGGATTATAGTACATTATGTTCCCTGATTAAAGGTACTGAGATGTACCCCTGAGTGTTCCACCCCACTGACAAGAGGGGCACTGCCCCAGTGACAGTTTAGTGCCTTTTTTTCTGAGACTGTACGGACGTCACCCATCCAGGATATTGGTTGTCTGTCCAGGAAAAAATCCTGTTCCTGGACATAAAATGTCCTAGAATCCAAGCATTTTTATATCAATTCTTAAGTTTAAACTGCTTCTTTTTATCCAATTAAACCATTTGTAAACTAAGTAATGATTGCTTCAGATTACCATCCATGTAGGGGACAGTTGGTGACCTTTTTTAGACACTAAGTAGATTACTGAAGGTTAGGTTCTGTAGATGAACTGACTACGTACCTTAGACTGCATCATGTTTATAGCTACCGTCCACTGAATTTAGTAAAATAAATAAATAAATAATTTAAAAAATCAATCCAGTTTCCACAAATTTATATAGAATTTTAAATTAGTTAACAAAATTTCTGTCTTTTGACTGTTGCTATAACATCTTTAGAGAGCAGTGGTGAGTAATGATTGTTTATTTGAGCTTGAGCTGTTTCTGTCATCTCTTGGGAGCATCAACAGCTTGGATGCAAAATAGCTAATCAGCTAATTTGGCCACTTTAGGCTTGCACTGTAATAGATGAATGCAATGAACAAAAACAGGACACTTAAATAGTCAACTGCAGTAATTTGCATGGCAATTAATGGCAGTAAGCTTATCACCATCATTACATAATTTATTATTTCATAATTATTTAAGCTGACTGCAGTCATTTTCACCAGTAACTAGATTACACAGTCATATCAAAATGCAACAAACTAATAGTGTTTACTGTGTTGAGGCAAATAAATGAAAATCAAAGAAAGTAGTAAATGCATTCGCTGAGACATTATGGGGCTTTTAACTTATTAGAGCACCATGTTTAGAGAGCAGGGCTGAGTAATGTTTGGGTCTTTGTTAGCACTGTAGCTAATTCTAATTTTTTCAGCAGGTATGTTGACCGAATGAGTCTTTCTTTTTTGCTCATTTTTCACTCTTGTGCGGAACTTGTAGCTCTACTTAACTCTATACATGAATCTGTAAAACTGTAGACATCTGTGTGCATATGTGTGCACAACAGTGCGTGTGCAGACTTGATACAACCAGTGGTAGCTACTAAATAAACATAGCTAGCAAGTAAGGTGGCGTATCAGCCAGTTTGGCCTCTTTAGGCTTATATCGTAATAGTTGCGAACAATTAACAAGAAAAGACAAATTATTAATGGCAATTATTTATATGACAATTAATTGTCAGCTAAAATTTCATGACTGTGCCCTAATTGTCCGCAATAACAGTGACAGGCCGAATACTATCTCAATCATTCTGAAATCAGCCCTCCTTCTTGATGGATGGATGATTTTCTAGCACAAAAAGAGTCGGGAATTGAAATGAGATTAATGGCCTTTTAACAGGATTCATAGCCTTCCTTTTTGAGAGATGTCTATTTTTTAAGAAAATCACGGTCACAAATATATGTGCAAAAAAAGCAGGCAAGAATTCAAGTGGGACTCGTGCCGTTTGCTGAATGGTTTTAATGACTAAATGGAATAAATCTGGCACACGTCTGAAAGGACAACTTCAAATTCATTCATTAATATCCATTTAATGTCCAAGAAACGTAGCAAACTAGCAAAGTATGCATCTTAGCAAAGCTAACACCGCTTGCTAGGGGGATGGACCCTCTGGGCTACCACACAGGCAGGACCCTCTCAAATTCCAAGTCAAAACTTCCTGTCACCAGACATCCTTGTGGACTTCAGGGCTGGTATTGAGACTATGGTTATGGTAAAATATATCAGTGTGAAGTCAAAGTCAAACAGCTGTGAAAATACAAAATGCTTATTTAATTCTCAGGCTATAAGTCACTACACATGTCATTCAATAGTAAAGCTGGCGTATGAATTACATTCCTCCCTCGTGAAACAGCCGTAATCCTGCAGATTTGTGTATGTTTTGCGTTTGCTTCACTGTCACCAAAAAAAATCCTAATTCTTTAATCCAGTGCTGACTCACCGTGATGTGGATTAGGCATCTTGCATCTTCCAGCTCGATATAAAGACAGAGGATATTCATCAACAGAAATTCACCCCTCCTGCAATCACCCATGGCATTCAGCGAGAAAACCCTGTGAGGATTGTGAATTGGAACAGTAAGCCAAACATGAGTGGCGAAAACAATTGCTTGTGCTGCTTTTCAGCACACTTGGCTGCGTGGGGATTTGCCGGGCTGGGGAATGGAGTCGGACATGCTCAGGTGCTTTGAATACAGATAGCTGAGCTCAAAGGTTAAAGCAAGAGATTGGCAAAAACTTGGCGCATGTTGTTCCCAAGAACAAGACACCTAATCCAAAATTCATCACGGGGATACAGCAACATTGTTATCCTGTCTCCTTCACCCTCCCCTTTCAGGAGCTCCTGCAACACTGAAAATTGCTCTCAATGAATTTGAAACGTCAGATACAAAAAAGTGGGAACTTGTGTACTCGTAGATGTTTAGCTGTGGATGTGCAAATGGATGTCGTGTTCTGCTTTATACTTCAAACAATTATATCGTTAATGCATTTTACTGTGTTCAGTCTAGTTGTTTTTCTGGAGCAAAACTCATTGGTAAACGTTCTTATCTGTTCCATCCAAGAAAATAGATATTTTGGGCAGAAGTCTTGAGCGCTGATCTTACCCCAAAAAATGAGAGTGGTTTCTCTCCTGAGGGTTCACAAGAAGGGCCACATTAAGGAATTCTGGGGCCCTGGGCTGACTTTGTCTCAGGGGGCCTCCCACATCCCTTTCAACTCAGCTACACATTGACAGAAGAGAAATTTCGAAGGGACAAAGATAATATAATTTTACACAATTTAAATTTATAGTCACGTCCTTTTCATGAGTTCGTCCTTGTTTGTTTTTTAAGCTTAAATTTTTCACTTACGACACTTACGCTGTGGTATTTTCTGTTTGACAGTGTAAAATTGGCTTAAGTTGACTAATGGTAGATGCAGGCAGTATTAGAACTGGGATTTAGGAGGTGGAGGACTTCATTCATGTCAACAATATGGGAGCAATATTGCTTTTGATTTATTAAATGGAGTTATTGGAACTGATATTATGGAAGTGTGTAGGCTGGCTGTACAAGGTGAAGTTTTCATGTAACTACTTGCATATTATGAGTTGCCTGCAACATCATTTCGATGCAACGTGACAGTTTCACTAAACAATTGCATGCAACACATTAAATTACTCCACTAGTTAGGCAAATTAGCAGCTCGTAATTTTGATACACTGTATTGTTCTCTCATCTGAAAGGTGAAATTTACATATTTGCAGAATTTTTATCTTATTTTTACCACCATCATAGCTGATTGTTTTTCTATATCTATATATTTGTCTTTTATCTATGTACAGTTCTTTACTATATATTTTGGGTTTTTATCTGTTTTGTGTATGTTAAGCCTTTATAAATATAATATTTGAATAGCCATAACAGTTATCGCGTATTTGATGTCTCACTCATCCTGTCACACAAGCACAACAAGTTCATCAAGTGGCTCATCACTCTCATCTTCTGTAATAATTTTCATCCTTTTGTTCTCCAATGAATCTGAGGTGTGTGTAAAATTAGGGGTTGTCGTGAGAGGACAACAATAAATCTAGTTGCATAGCTCCTGATAACAGCAGGCTAAAGAAAAATAAACAGTGACACAAGCAGCAGTTTAAACAGCTGTTAGCGTTAGCTGGCTAGTAAACACAGCTGTTTACAGAAACATTAGCTTCAAGAAACACTTAAGTTGCACCATGTAAAACCAGCCTTCCCATATCTGTTTCTCCCATATCCATTTAATTAGAACTGGGTGGTCAAATCTTAGTTTTTCAATAATCATTATTGTCAATTTTGGCTAAAATGTAAACGTCATAATAGCACAAGAAATAGACCGGCTGTATATATTTGTTTTAGTTACCTTAGTAGTACTTCAAACTAGGCTACCTACCTATGAGCTATGATGCTTTGGATACATCTGTAAAAGCAGGAAAAACTACAGGAATAATTGTTATTACAGTTAATACGGCCCTGTGCACGAGGGTCTCTGAGGTTTCTGGCATAATGTTGCTGGAAAACATTTGGTGGTTTCTAATTATGTTTATCTGCTCCTGTTTCCAGGCATTGCTGGCAATCCAGTGCAGTTCAATGAGAATGGGGATGCCCCAGGTCGGTATGATATCTATCAGTACCAGATAAATAACAAAACGGCAGAGTACAAAATCATCGGCCACTGGACTGACCAGCTCAACCTTAATGTAAGTGCTTTATTTGAAGCTTTATGCAGTATAAAGCAGCATATGTTTTATTTCTTTTATGATTTCCAAAGTGCACAGTACAGGTCTCTTTTCTTATAATGTAGGCCTAACCATTTGAGAAAACATTGAAGTCTAGAGGAAGACAGTATTATATCTTTGCTGCATTCAATTAGTTAACAGCTGTCATGAAAACAGAAGACAGATCTTTCTGTTTCTCAGTTACTGCTGGTGTGAATAGTAAGCAGTATTGTGCTTGTGTGCTTCAGATGCCAGCGATGCAGTGGCCAGGCGGTGCAAGGCAAGTGCCCTCCTCCATATGCAGCCAGCCCTGCAAGCCAGGCTGGCGCAAGAAGATTGTGAAGGGTATCCCCTGCTGCTGGCACTGCGAGCGCTGTGATGGATACCAATACCAGGCCGACCCGTTCACTTGCAAGATGTGCCGCTTTGACATGCGTCCCAACAAGACCCACACAGGCTGCCAGAAAATTCCCATTGTCCAGCTGGAGTGGAGCTCACCATGGGCGGTCATACCTGTCCTCATCGCTATAGTGGGCATCATGGCGACCTTGTTTGTGGTGGTCACTTTTGTACGCTACAATGACACACCGATTGTGAAGGCATCAGGACGGGAGCTCAGCTATGTCCTGTTGACGGGCATCTTCCTCTGCTACGCCACAACTTTCCTGATGATTTCTACTCCTGGTGTTGGGATCTGCTCGCTTCGACGTATCTTTCTTGGCCTGGGAATGAGTATAAGCTACGCTGCTTTGCTAACTAAAACCAACCGAATTTACCGTATTTTCGAGCAAGGGAAGATGTCAGTGAGTGCCCCTCGCTTCATCAGCCCAGCATCCCAGCTGGTCATCACCTTCAGCTTGATCTCAGTACAGCTCTTAGGGGTCTGTATCTGGTTTGCAGTGGACCCTCCTCAAGCCTTCATTGACTATGAGGACCAGCGCATGGCTAACCCGGAACTAGCAAGGGGTGTGTTCAAGTGTGACATCTCAGACTTGTCGCTCATCTGCCTTCTGGGCTACAGCATGCTGCTGATGGTCACCTGCACGGTCTACGCCATAAAGACGCGCGGGGTGCCGGAGACCTTCAACGAGGCCAAGCCCATCGGCTTCACCATGTACACCACCTGCATCATTTGGCTAGCTTTCATCCCCATCTTCTTCGGCACATCGCAGTCCACGGAGAAGGTAGGGAACGGTTTTGTGACAAAGTGAAACAGAAATTTGACAACTTTTGCAACTTCAGCTACCCTTGAAATACAGAGAAGGCAAGCCATTTTCAGTGAAAGGCAGTTTAGCTGGGAGAAGTGTAGTTCTTTATTTTTGCTTCAGAGCAAGTTGCTGCCAGTATGTTATGAGCTACAGTGCATGAGCTTTTGATCAGCATATTAATGTGGACATGTGCAGCAGGAAGACAAGAGGCTTCTCCTTTGCTAATCCTGCTCTGTATCTTCAGAGATGAAAGAGGCTTTGAAAACGACAAGGATATCGAACATCAGCTTTTTGGGGGTGATGTAATCCATTGACAGCAAGTGTCTTGGAATAACAAACAGCAGAAAAATAGGAGTAGTACTCAGGAGGAAATCCTTTCAAGGCAGAATTTAATTTCTGCTCACACAGCCATACTCTGCATTCCTTATTTTAATCAGAAAACCTGGGACCTTCTGTCACTGGGATTTCGATAAGAGTTTTTTTTTCCCTTCCTCTTTCAATTCTGCCATAAGTTATTTAATTAGCGTTGTCCTTTAGAAAAGGCTGAGTATGCCATGCCAATCTAGGGATCACTGTAACAAGATGAAGGCAGAAATAATTTGTTAAACCTCTGTGACCAGCTGTACAGTGTACACTGACCGATCACTTCATTAAGGACACCTTGTTGTACCTACACTCTTTGTCCATTTTATCAGCTCCACTTACTATATAGGTGCACTTTACATTTCTACAATTACAGATTGTAGTTCATCTGTTTCTCTGCATACTTTGTTAACCCCTTTTTACCCTGTTCTTCAGTGGTCAGGACCCCCACAGGACCCCCACAGGACCACCACAGAGCAGGTATTCATTCTCAGCACTGCAGTGACACTGACATGGTGGTGGCGTGTTAGAGTGTGTTGTGCTGCTGAATGTGTCCCCTTACTATCGACTCTATTAGACAATCTTACCTTGTTGTTTCACCTTGTGTATATGAAGCCAGGGACAATAGCTCATCTGTTGCTGCACAGTTTGTGTGGGTCATCCTCTAGCCCTTCATCGGTTGTCACAGGATGCTGCCCGCAGAACTCTGTTGGATGGGTGTTTTTGGTTGGTGGACTATTCTCAGTCCAGCAGTGACACTGAGGTGTTTAAAAACTCCAGCAGTACTGCTGTGTCTGATGCCCTCATACCAGAGCAACACATACTAACACATTACAGGTGGTCCTGTGGGGGTCCTGACCTTTGGAGAACAGGGTAAAAGTATGCAGAGAAACAGATGGACTACAGTCTGTAATTGTAGAACTACAAAGTACTCTGAGAGGGTCGTTTGATCAACCTACCGTAATTGAAAATTAATAAGACCATGCTTGTTGGAAAACAGAAGATATCTGTTCCTTTAGAGAATTATTTGAAAGCCTCTTTTCCTCCCTCCCAGCTACTCTTTTTTCTTCTCAAAGCTCCAAGTTCCATAAATAATCAATCATTACCTATGTTCTGATGTGTGGTATCAAAGGGATACCGGACAGAAGCAGGAATTTGTCTTTGCTGATAGCTAGACTCACTTTGGGGAATTTCCACACAGCACAGGCAATAAAACGGTGTCACGTGACAAATGTACACTGTTGAGTGTGCATCAAACAACTATCGCTGAAAAGAATTAACATTTCAAAACAGCTGCGTCTCACAATCATCCAAGCTGACAAGCACAGCCGAGCCTGGCGAGGGTGAGATGACATGTCTTTTAGTGCAATTAAATGCCTCTCTTCCCCCTGGCACTTGATTTACCTTATCTGTCCGCCCGTTCGCTCATCACCCGCTTACGGCCGAGCGTCTAATCAGCACGCCCACTCCATCATTTGTTTGTCATTTTATGTCAAACTGAACATAATGAATGTCACTTGGGGCTTTATGAATCATTTAAACGAGGGCACGCGGTCTTGTCTCTATAGTGTGTGATGAGCCCGCTAAGTGCTAACTGTAAAGGTAATACTTATGTAATCTCATCCTGCTTGCTTTGAATGGTAGGGAAGAGGCTGCATGTCAGTGAATTCTCATTGGTGGTGTTCGCCTTGAACACTAGAAGTGGGCGTGACTGGTAGCAGTAAATCCTGTCACACAGTGATTTGAATTGCTAGAAGTGAATTACTAACTGGTAGGTTTGTAATGATACACGTATTTTCAGGTCTGATGCAAACTAAGATTCAGTTAAATTTTTGGTATGTTATGTTAAAGATTTTTTGTTTCTACAGAATTCAGAAAATTAATTTCAAATATTAACACACACACACACACACACACACACACATATATATATATATATATATATATATATATATATATATGTACAGCATTTCAACAAGAGCTGTCCTTAAAATTTCATGATGAATGAACCAATAGAAATGCTCCAAATCTCTTTACATTAACTTACATTAAAATGGAAAAGCTTACTATTTGGAGATTTTTCTTTGGACAGCGACTCTATATACGTATGTGTGTGTGTGTGTGTGTGTGTGTGTGTGTGTGTGTGTGTGTGTGTATACATATGAGAGAGAGGGGGAGAGAGAGAGAGAGAGAGAGAACTAGATTGCTCATGCACTGTAAAATGAATACTTTTCTATAGATGTAATGTCAACATATTCCTAAAAATGTCACAAAAATGTTTAAGTGTACTGTGCTTTCCTGCTAAATTTAGAGGCTGTCAAAACATTTGTAATGTGTAAGTGTCTATGTAAAGGTTTTTATGACTAATATAACCTAGTCTAGGCTGTCTGATCCGTTATTTTATTGGAATAGTTGTACCTATTCAAATATTTGTATATCCATTTTTTTGATAACATGTGCAGCTTAAAACGGCAGAGAATGAACAAATGCATGTAAAGTTTCTGCTTGCAGTCACAACCTCCATATATGCAAAGTAAAATATCTGGCTACCAATACTAAACACACCCTGTGCAAGAATGTGGTTTTGTTTAACTAGCTCCCAGCTGGCCAGCTCGGCAGATAGCTAACAGCCTAAGAGGCTCCATAAATAATTTTCAGAGTAAAGGCACATTCACATTATTTTGCATCGTGGGCCGCAGTGTACAGCGGCAACATTTCACATCATCGCTCAAGGCGGCAAACCACCAATCAGAGGAACTCAAACAAACATCTCAAACACGTTTTCATGGATTTCTTCATGATTCAAGAAAATCTGAAATACATACTCTACGTTTTTATATTCTGCAGTGATGGGAGACGACCAGAAGCAGCCTGTAGTCATTGGCTATGCATTTCAACAAACTTGAACTTTATATTAAGCATTATATTAAGAAAGATTAGATGTTTTTCTCTGCAGAGAACAAGAAAATACAATACATTCTGATGTATATCTTACAGAACAAGGTCCAAAAATCAATGCAAGTCTAGGAGGAACACTCCTGCGGAGCATGGTGTGCTAGAGCAGAGGCTTCAGCAGAGCAGCCTCTATCGGCAAACCAGATACATATAACTATGGCTAGCTCATGCTTTATTGGAGTCAAATGAAGCTATCCGCTGCATCTTTTCGGACCTCCGCTATTAGCCTTTATTCATACATCCTTCCACCATGCTTGGAAGAGAACACAGTTCTGTTACGTCAGATAACAGACACCTGTGATGGTTAGCATAGAGCTGAGTGATGGCCATCTAGAGAGGGAGGCTGTATTGGACTCCTGGTGCTGGATGGCTGTGGCATTGCCAGCAATTGAACACACACTCTCCCATAAATAGGGACAACACTTACAGGGTTGTGCCATTCGGGAGCCCTGAAATTTTTTGGGGGATTTTTCAGTACTATGGTGAAAGTGTTTCACCCTCACTGACTGGTTGAGTTTCCAGCATTTTCACTAAAACACAGCACTGTAACACATACTGATAATACTGTAGGGTGAAAAACGAGGCCAGGGCTGAAAGGACTGAGCTTGACATAGAGATCCAAGTTCAAGCAGCCCATCCCACACCATTGTGCTGCAAGAGCTATTTGAATCTGCACCCCGCACAATTGCAGGCTGTCGTTGCAGTGCTAAATGGCTGACTTGCAGGAGATTCTCCATTGTGTTGTTGACAGAGTAATTACTGTCTCTGCGTGTGGGAGAGCGAGGTCCACACCTCTTATTACATACAGGTGTGTTTCAGAGCTTGAAGAAGCTCTGTATGAGGCCCCCATCTGTCTCTCGATGCACAGGGGAAAGTTGTCATTTTAACTGTTATACTAAAAAAAGACTTTGCAGCAACATTGTCAGGTACGCTGAAGTTCACTTGGCACTTGCGATGCTTTTGGCAAAATCAGGTGATAACAAGCATTGTCACACTTCTACATCAATGACATATAACAGTTTTCAGCAGCGCCATGTCTACATAAGGAGCTCTAGCTCAGCCATGATATTTTGGGCACATTTTTATGAAACAATAAAAAGGCAGGCCAGAAGAGTGGCCATTTGGCTTCAGGGTCAATGGTGCATAAAGATGCACTGCTGTTAAAAAGAAATTAGAACAAAGATTCTTTGACTGGTTTGAACTGATCTGATCTAGGAGTGGATAACATGAACTTTAAATTTAGATTACAGCATTTTCCATTGAACAGATAATAATGGCATTATAATAATAATAATAATAATATGCTAGGTTTATTTATATATACTAAAGTGCACAACAAGAGTGAAAAGGAAGCCCATTTGCCTTTGCAAAATAAGAGTCTGCACCAACACTGTGAATGTAATAATGATATAAGCTGTTCAAATTCATGTTTAACTTGTCTAGAGGCATAGCTGTCGTACATGACAGCCCACACAGACATCGGGGGGAACATGCAAACTCTACAGAGAAAGAACCCTGGTCACCCTGGTGAGGCAACAGTGCTACATATATATATATATTGCTATATATATAATGCTTTTAGTACTATCTTTAGTACAGAAATACATAAAAATGTGTTTTCCATTATCTAAAAATATGCAATATAAAATACCCTGGAAATTCTTAAAGTACTTGATAGGCTGTAAATATATGTGGGGGTCTCTCAGGTTCCCTGTGTTTGAGCTCATCATGGTATCTAGTCATATTTTATACTGGTATTCCTCTCAGCCCTGATCCGGTGATTTTGGAGCAAACAAGAGGCACAGAAAATCTCCTTTTGTTTATTTCACATGGCTGAAAAACTTTCTAAGCAAAGTACATACAGTAAAATGTACAACTATTATATTTATGAGTAACAACAGCCAAAAATCTGTTCATTTGTCATTGTTATTAGTGCAGTAAACACATTTACCTGAATTGTCTGTTGATGAGGACATGTTTTAGTTAGAGATTAGCCTCTCACACAGCAGTTGTCTGTGCTGAAACCTACAGTGGGTGTGATGTCTGCTTTGTAAGAATGTCAGCATTCTCCAGCATCTTAGCAGCTCTCACATGGGACCGGCCTCTCAAAAGCATCCTTATGTAACACACTGTCAGGGATCATAATAAGATCATTGTAGCTAGCAGAGCATGTTCGCAGAGGTACTTTTCTTCTATCCTGAAATTCTTTCCTCTATACTCAGGAAAGGAATACTGAGAATTCATAACTAAAGAAGACTCCTAGAACTGTAGCAATAATTCAAGTAAAAGTATTAATAATAGAAATAAGTGTAAACACATGGTTTACTATGCATTATGTTGTAGCTACCCAGCATTATTTGTCAGTATGTCTACAGGCACAGGCTGAAAATATTTCCGAGCAGCTTGCACATGGGGCTGGTCTCTCAAAAGCATCATTATGTAACACAGTGCTGCCTCTGTCTCCACTGCCTCTAACATATTCACACTACTTGCAGTCAAAAGGCACCTGAACTGTATAATTTTTGGAGGTGGACACATTTGCTTTTCTTTTATTGTCTTTCAAAATTGAACTTTTTAAAGAAATGACCACAAAGTGTTCTGTATTTTTGGAGACCATTAGACTTAGTTTAAACCCAGGGACTCATTACAATATGTTCAGCTGGTGTACAATTACATAGCTTTTTGTGTCGGCACAAGTTTTAAGTTGCTCATTAGCTTGAATGCTTATATTGGCTGAATAAGCTAGCTAAGAGTCACTCACAGTAGGATGTGTAATCAACAGCTGTAATAAAGAGCCATCATGCTTTTTATTCTAAATCAAGAAATTAGGAAGAAAATAGTGTAAGAACTCAGTATAAAGTCAGCTAAGGTTAATTGTCCAGGCTGTTAACTGATTCTTTATGTCAGTTATCAACCCTCCTCCTGAAGATCTACCTTCCTGCAGGTCTCACCTCTGACCGAATTCTAACATAGATATACATACATAGATGCCATGTTGGGTTCAGTCAACAGTGCCGCCATCTTGGGGCAGTAAACATCACTGCTGGACTGCATTCAGTACAGATATAGAGTGGCAGTTGTATGTAGTTGGATGGGATTGTATGTAGTTGGAAGCAGTCATATAAAGAGGGGAATGTACCAATTAGCATCCATGTTTGTGCAGTGTTTATGTATAGATATGACCATGTGCTTGGCAAAGCACAGTCAACTCATTGGTGTAATACATTTTATAACCTATGCAGGGTATCTTAACTTAATGTGAACTTCAGTTACACTATTTTATTTACACTGATTATCAGTTTTGGGTAAATGTACATTGTAATTCCAGCCATATATTGATCCAATCTGAAATTTTCACATTAGATTAGTGCATTCTTACTGTGTTTTAGGGGGTTTGAATTCTCTACAATTATATATGTGTGACGCTTGGAAGGAATTCACACATTGATGGATTTGAAATTGAAATGAAATGAAATGACCCTTTAGCCAACTGTCTGAACACATTGGAATTAGACCTCCGCATTTAACCCATCCGTGCAGTGAAACACCACATACACACCAGTGAACACACACACTAGGGGGCAGTAAGCACACTTGCCCGGAGTGGTGGACAGCCCTATCCACAGCGCCCGGGGAGCAGTTGGTGGGTTGGGTGCCTTGCTCAGGGGCACTTCAGTCACGTACTGTCAGCTGAGGGGATCGAACCGGCGACCTTCCAGTCACAAGGCTGGTTCCCTAACCTCCAGCCCATTTACTGAGGTGTGACTGATGTGTGACTGTTTCTATCAGAGCTAGTGCTAAACTGATAGCAGTCTTTAATGTCAGGTGCAGACCAAATAAAATGTCTGCGGCTGCTCCAGACTGCTAGCTAACCAGCACACTTTCATTTGCGAACTAGAATAAATCAACAAATGTCAGAAATCTGTGCAACAGATGTACTGCTGTGCCTGATCCACTCAGACCAGCGCAACACACACTAAAACACCACCACCACATCAGTGTTACTGCAGTGCTGAGAATGATCCACCACCCAAATAGTACCTGCTCTGTGAGGGTCCATGGGGGTCCTGACCACTGAAGAACAGGGTAAAAGGGCAGAGAAACAGATGGACTACAGTCTTTAATTGTAGAACTACAAAGTGCACCTATATAGTAAGTGGAGCTGATAAAATGGACAATGAGCGTAGAAACAAGGAGGTGGTCATAATGTTATGCCTGATCAGTGTATGCTCCATTGTTTTTTCAGGACCCATGGTGGGTTTGACTTCTGCAAATAAGCTGCTGTAAAATTGTCAGGCCTGAGCTGGTATAGATTACCTAGTTAAACTTGACAAAGAGCCTTCAGAGTTCAATAACTAATTTGGAAACTTCAGCTTTTCCATGATTTGCAAGGTACTTTGGGGACATCAAGTAAGGTCTTGTTTCTTGCCCCTTTGTGCTGCTGCGCTAGGCTGCTTTGTTGATGTTGTCCACTCTTCGGCAAAGTGCAAAGCACGCGTGACTAAGTATCACCGTGTTGCGAGTCGACGGTTCCCCAAAGGTAGCGCCCAGTGCTGCACAGTGGTCATCTGTCTCCACATCCTGAAGAAGCTCACCCTGGCTGTCTTGGCTTTGGCCGGCCCTTCCTGCCTGAGCTGGGACTCTTCCCCCAGGACAATGGAGAGAGATCACAGCGATGAGTCACTCTTAATCATAGCTCGCAGAGGAGCTAGCGCTGAGGTCACGTCTGGGGGAGCACAAACACACAGCAGTGTTTTAAAGCAACAGCAGGGGGTCCGCAGCAGGGCCAGGGGAAGGCAGAGCCATTAGTGCATAGTGCGAGTGTGGGAGGTCGAAAACATCATGCACACATATACGTGCGCTCCAGGCTTGATTGCTTAAGGCAGTCCATCACTGTCAGAAATGACGTCATAGTCTTGTTGGCTGGCATTCGTACACAGTAGTCACCATGACTGACTACGTACACAAAGACCACAAAAAAATCCACTCTTTTTAATGAACATGCATCATGCATGATCATCTGATAGATTCAGGGAAACAAACAGCAAAACCCTCTGGACCATGCTGAAAAATACATTACTGCTGTCATATCCAAACATCATATCTCTGAAGTAACTTTATTGGAAAGAGTGGCTGATGCTGTGTTTACATGTTGGCAGTAGACAGATGATGGTAAACTAGATATTCCATTGTTTTTAATGAAGCAGTGACAGAAAATTCTGCCATTGCCAGCAGCAACCTTCCTATTTGAAAGCCAGGCCCCCTTAGATTTCTGATCTTTTAAAAAGTTCTCTGATGCTTTCTTACATTCTCATGACTCCACTAATCAAAAGAGACTGACAAAGCTCTCATAATATCACCATAGCAATGTTTTCACTGCTGCATGCTGCTGCTGAATGTGCTCAAAGACACAGAAAGACACCTTTTTTTAACACCAACATGTAAACAAAGCATTAACTTGCTCTGTTGTTTCTCCTGGTGGGGAGAATTTGGCTGAACTATAGGCTGCTTACTTAGTAGTAGTAGTTGACTGTGGTGAAGAATACAAGAAGTTCAGCACTGAAAAAATGACAAGAAAATCACAATCTTCAGCCATTTGCCCTTGACATCTACTCCTAGTGCTATGAAGCCTGCTGTCAGTTATTGTACAAACTAACGTCAGCCAGTTAAAGTTGAGATAAGCAATCCTGCATTGCATTTAATATTCAGAAAGGTTTGTCCCACTATAAATTACATTAATGAGTGAGCAATTTTAACAATTTAACAATTTAAACGCAAAGGAGTTGGCTAGTTGGTGGTTGTCATTCTCACTGTAGTGATGTCTGTGGGCCTTAATGCTCACTAGCTGGCTAAGCTGTAACCAGATTCCCTTTAAAATGAATTTCTGGCTTTGCCACAGATTGAAGAAGGAACAAACTTTCACGTAAATGCAACAAGATTTTCTTCTGGACATTTCTTAATGAAATCCTAAAATGGCAGCTGACATTAACAAATTAGGCTTAGAACAAAAAACAAAAAAGAAATAAAGTTACTAGATTTTGTTGATATATATATTGATATACATTGATGATATATTTTCTGATATGAGAGATCCACTTTAATGTGCAGTAGCAGGAAAACAAAACAACCTTATGTAAGACTGTGCAAGTGGCCCAATAATGTCTTACATGTTTTAATCAGCAGGTCAAGTGTTCTCCTTCTGTGAGTTCAGTCATGCTGAAATCATCAGTGATGTGAGTGGTATCATGCCAAATAACATAAATGTTTGAACCTGATCACAGGTGACAGACAGATGGTGGATGAACTGTAAATGATGTAGACAGTAATGGCTGTTTTTTTCCCCTTCCCCTCTTGTCCTGTTGTCTATTGCATTGACAGATGTACATCCAGACGACCACTCTGACCATCTCTGTCAGCCTGAGTGCCTCTGTGTCTCTGGGGATGCTCTACATGCCCAAGGTCTACGTGGTACTCCTGCACCCTGAGCAGAATGTGGCCAAGCGCAACACTCGCAGCCTGAAAGCTGTGGTCACTGCAGCCACCATGTCCAACAAGTTCAACCCCAAGGTCAGCCTGCGGCCCAATGGAGAGGCCAAGACTGAGCTGTGTGAGAACCTGGAAACTCAAGGTGAGATGGCTTAGAGGAAAAATACAGCTGATATCTGTAGTTTGTCTTGCCAGTTGGGCATTTTTTCAGAAGCAATGCAGACTAGGAAAAATGAATACTCATATTAAATATTTGCAAGTGCAACATTTTAGTTTTATAGTCTACTGAGATCAGGATATAGAATTTGGCTTTAGGCTTGAACTAGTGTCAAATTTCATTTGACTCACATGGCGTAAGCCCTACTAATTGAAGAAAAACAGAAACCAAAAGAGAATTGCAGTCAACCCACTCTTTAAAGAGCACTGGTTTTTGTAGGAGTGACCGTAGTACTTCTACTATGATGAGAATGTAGAAGTTAGCTTTAGGCTTAAAGCAATGTCAGTTTTCATTAGACACAAGCCCTACCATTTGAAGAAAAACATGACCTAAAAGGGACTCTAATGTTGCAGACAACCCACTCTTTCATAAGTGTTGATTTGTATAGGAGTATCCTTTGTACTTCTACAGTGATCAGAATGTAGAAGTTGGTTTTAGGCTTAAATTAGGGTCAGATTTCTCTGGATGTCAATTGATCCAAGCCCAACCAATTGAAGGAAAATTACTCAATTTATGAAAAAACTCAAAAAGGGCACATAAAATGGCATAAATCCAAAGGTAACACTTTTTTGAGTGATCCTTTTAGATGAAACAAATACTAAACAGACTCTCAGTAACATGTCAAAAACATATGAGAGGTTAGGATTAGGTTTTGGGTTGAGGTTAAGGTTAAGGTTAGGATTAGGGCCAGGGTTAGGGTTAGGTTTTGGGTAAGCTTGGTAAGGTTAGGTTTGTAAGTAATGTATCTTAGACTTAGACAGACTTTATTGTCATTCAAATTTATGCTGTACAGTGCGCATTAGAATGAAATTACGTTGCATAGGCTCAGAGTAGATATGGGAGAATTATAAGTAATACAAGGTAGTGCAAAGTGCAATGTAGTGCAGAGTGTGGTGCATATGTAAACATATTTATGTCAACAGATAAATAAATTTTAAATAAGTATATATACAAGAGGGTGTATTGCACTGTAGCTCCTAGGTGTGGAGTAATCAAAAAAGAATTGAAGCAGCATTTATTTAGAGTTCAACAGTCTTATTGCATATGGGAAGAATTTGTTTTTGAACCTGGCTGTTCTGCTTCGAAGACTTCGGAACCTCTTTCCAGAGGCTAGCAGCAAGAATAGTCCATGGTGGGGGTGGGAGGGGTCTCTGTTTATGTTCTGAGCTCTGGTCAGACAGCGACTTGTTGCGAGGTCAACAGGTATCAACAGTACATCTACAAGATATTTACTTTAATTTATTCAGCACTACAGCTACTTCACTGATATGTTGTTGATGTGTTACTCTGTAAAGAGTTTATTAATCATCTACAAAGGACCACTCCAAATAAAGTGTCATCAATCCAAATGATTAGTTTTACAACGATCAGAATATTTTGCACTTAAATTAGCATCAGATTTCATTAGGCATCGAATGGTGAAGCTCCTAGCAATCAAAGAAAAAAACAACCCAAAAAGGCAGATAACCCACTCTTTCAAAATTGCAGAGGAGTGTCCATTGTAATTCTACAGGGGAAAACAACCTTCATTCTGTATCCGGAGTGGCTGTGATCTAAATAAGGCAATCTTCACACCTCGCCCCATCCTAGTAAAGATTGAATTGGCAGTTTAATGCACTGCTTATCGTCTCGCCATTTGGCAGATGAGACGATCTTCAAACATCGCTCTCATCTAGTAAAACGTTAAATTGGCAGTCTAATTCACTGCTTAGGCATGGTCCAACGTAAATTACCGAGAGGCAAACTGGTTTGATTTCAGTAGCATACAAGTCTCTTGCTGAGCTGCTAATTTGAATATGTATAAAACAGGGCAGCAGACAGATGGGCTTTGTACAACAGCGGTAAATAAAGCCATAAACAGCTGAATCAGCAGAAACAACTTTGAGTGATTATGCATTTCCACTCCTCCAACCTGCACAGGCAGAGATAGGGAAGCCTGTGGCAGGAGATAGCTTCCATATTCCAGAGAAATTACAATTTGATTTTGCTCAGGGAGCAAAATTATTCATGCTTAGATAAGATACTCTTTTCCGTAAGTAATAAGTACAGTTCAGGTAAGGCTTGTAATTGCTTTTGGAAACTGAAGCTTTTTTGTTGCTTTGACAAAACCACTTTTCTTTTGCCTCGTCGATTCAAACTCGGTACACAATCTAAGCGGTGACAAAGTAGAATATGGGTGACACCAGGCACAGTCCCCATTCAACAAGTAAATTTGTTTTGCCCCCTTTAGTCCCAAGTTCAAGGAGAAGTAAAATTCCAATAGCGCATCTCGGCAATCCAGGCCGTTTAGTAAGCAAAATTCTCATGCTGTCTCCTCTTTTTCAGGACTTAGCCCCAAACAAACATACATCAGCTATAGCAACCATGCAGTCTAGCAAAAGTGAAAAAAAAGGCCGCTTCCTAAGAGTGACTTGTGGAAGACAGCGTCTAAAGGTGAACCACTCTTATGGTTTCCAGATGGGGGAGAGATATGAAAACGGCCTGCGGATGCCACGGACATTTTCTGATCACACAGAAGATCATGAGAAGACCCCGAGGGGGAAAAGTGGGAAGTCCATGACGTTTCAGTGATGGTACTGTACATTCCATACTGTGGCATCCTGCAGAACGGACTCCTTGCTGGGACCATCTGCGAAACTCCATTAAAGCTTATTTGAATCTATTCTACATTCAGATGTCATATATCTGATGTCATTTTGCTGAAGGACCAAACTTCAACATCTTCAACAACTTTCAGGTATGCATACATGGAGGGACAGCTGCTGAGCAACGACAACAAAAAATAAATCTTTTTCCCAGCAGGGGTTCTCACGTTTTCCTCTTGGTGATGGCGACAGCAGAGACCATTGTTTACAGGTGTTGAGCATGCTGGTTTTGGCATCCTGTGTTGTGTTGTTTTTTTTTTCTTTTTTAAGGAACATATCTGGAATGCTTTTAAAACCATGTTGCTGTGTTGTTACCACACTATGAGCCCTTGTGATATCAAAACTGTTTTAGGTGTATGGAGTGGTCTTTGGGGTAATGTTCGCTTGTGCTTGAGTACAAAAATCCTTTATTAAGTCAACTTACCCTGCGCTGTGGTCCAAAACACTCGATAGCTGTCACTGCCAACCATGCTTTGGCAAAAAAAACAAAAAACAAAAAAAAAATCGGAAATCACAATTTAGTAGCTGGGGTGATGTTAGCTCATTAAGAGTCTTTTCTGGCTCCCCTCGCTGAATCCTCTTAGAGACGATTCAACTACTGAAAAACTAAAACTACCAGTGTCCTGTTTGAGTAATTAAAAATAAGGAAAAAAAGAAAAACAGTACGCATAAAGCTTATAAATGACCTTTAGAAAAGAGCTGTAGGAAAGAGCAGGAAAAAGGTACTAATATGAAGAACTGTCAGATGATATATTGCAGCGAAGCATTTTGTGGATGTTCTGTGAATTTACAATTCACTTCTTATGATTTTTCCCTCTGTCTTTTTTCTTTTCTTTTGCACTGTTTGTGTTGCCAAAATATGTTCATGTTGACAGTGATAAATGGCAACTTAATGTGTGTTTCTGATTGGTAATGTTTGCGTTTCGTCCTGAAAAAAGAAAAAAAAAAAAAAAAAAAGGAATCAGAAACAGTGCCTGTACTAAAGTATTTGTAACATAAGAAAACTGAGGTATGTGAAGCATGATCATTTTTATACATAAGTTGTTTCTAATAAAAATATTTTTCAAAACGCATTGTAATTCTTTCGTTTGTCCTTCACAGAACAAACAAGTAATGAAGTTGAATGAAAAAAAAGGTATTACTCTGTTGAATAGAAATCTACGGAAGTTCAGAGAGGCCATGATGTTGCTGTATTGTTGTTATCTTAAGATAATGAGTTAACTGTCTTGTGATCACAAGATAACAAAGTCTGGAGAGACCATGAGCTGTTATATAATTTTCTGGATTGTTATCTTGAGATAACAAGTTAATTATCTTGTGATCTCAAGATAACAAAGTTGTTATCTCGAGATCACAAGATAATTAACTCATTATCTCAAGATAACAATCCAGAAAATTATAGTAACAGCTCATGGCCTCTCTGGACTTCCATAGAAATCCTTTGTTTTTTGAAATAAAAGTTTGTTGTGGTATGTAAACACTTTTTAACAAGTTTCAAAGCTCTCGCTGCCCAGTTTAGTCAGTCTATATAAGAAACTAAGCTGCATACATTTTAAATGTATTGTTTTTGTGATGTCATATAGTCACCAATTCAGCCTACATCTGTTTCGCTCTTCCCACTCATGCAGAAGTTATAAGCAGTGTGTCATCCCGGACTGCTTTTAAATGAGGCACAATGCAGAGCAGCCAATCAGGACAGAGCTCATTCACATGCATGCTGTGCAAACGTTTTAGGCACCTGAGAAAATTTATATGAGTGTTTATTTGCTCAGAAAAAATATTACTAAAATATTACTATAAATGCAAGTAATCTGAATACAATACATATTAAATTTATGTATGTCATTGTGTTTTCGCCCCTTTCCTCACTGCAGCCCAGTATTATTTGTAGTTGTCATCCAATACCTGGTTTGGCTAATCAGCATAAATTAAATTAGTGCTGGTGATGGAATTGAAGAAATCTATGTGAAGCCTGAAGGCACTGAGAAGAAATCTTGAACTGAATGTTCTTTAAACTAGTTCACAATGTCAACTACTTTTTTGAAGACAAAAAAAAGGAAAGAAATTGCTGTTACTTTTTACTGTATTTTTGTTTATTCGTATGTATCCTTATTTTCCTAGTCTATCTATTTTGTAATCTATGTTGAATTTACAAGCAAAAGCACATTTATCATAAAAAATGGTTTATGTGCTTATGTGCTGTATATCAATATAAATCAATCTGCAGACACAAAACTGTAGTCTTAAAGGCACAGTAACGAAAACAGCCTGTTTAAGTCTGACAGATAAAGAGAGGTTGGAAAATGGTCATGTAAAAATGAATTATGACTGTATGTACGACTGTACATAAAACCTCACCACAGTGGATTTCAGCAGGGTGAAAAGAAAAGAAAAATGTAGGCCGTGGGCCACTTTAAATTAGTGACACAAATTGCTGGCTTTGAATTCTAGTTGTATTGTATTGTGATCACCGTGTATGCAGATTATAGTCTATAACCTGCGTTGTTCATGCAACTCGAATAAGCAATTCCAGAAAAGCAGGAGAAGCACATTATTTATTTTAAAGCAACTACAACCTTCTACATATTTCCAAGATGAAATTTTTCCAGACGGCATCTTTAATGGAGGGTAAATACCCGCTGAGGCGGAAGAGGCTCCTGGGAGCAAACAGAGGGAATTAAAAGAAATGTCATTAGCTGGAGATATATTTTTACAAGAGGTGGCCGTCCATCATAGAGTGAATTTCAAAAGGCCCATTAGTATTCGTGAGTTATGTGTGCCATCAGTGCAAACAGCGTGGAAGCAGACAGGTGCTATAAAGAAGAGCTATGGTGCCGAGACTTCTTGATGTACAACACTACGGCTAGAGATAAATTACTGCCCACATTGGGCTTATTTAGGTCCGTCTATAATATGGGACATAAAGCAGCGGCCTGATTGGAATGCTACTCCATCTCTCTGTCAAAGATGACAGCGTAGGGAAAGTGGTGAAAAAGTAGAGGCAGCAGAGCACGGTGAATTAGGCACAGAGTTAAAGCCCAGTGTATAAGAAAAATGTAGTAATATGTGTGCAGGCATATGATTAATTAGTATGATTTATTTCAGCCAAGAAAATAAACTATCCACTGGAGTCCATTTAATGGTGTAATAGTTTGCCAGTGCATATTTCAGTTGTGTCTAATTTTGGGCCAAGGACCTGTTAACCTAATCACGACGTGTTTGAACACTGACAGACATATTGAAAGAGAATTTTAAGGTGTATTTTAGCCTAATGTGACTGGACATGTTCATTCAAGCTCAAGACTCGCACAGAATCTACTGATAAATAGAGGGGGGAGGGTGTTGAGGAGGTCTATTCAGTCACAGTTTAGTGAAACAGCACCACTTTGTGGTTAGTCTGTTAAGTCTCTAAAGTAGATTCCCATATGCACACCAAGGTCCAAGGTCCATAACGGACTATTGGCCTATGCATTTCATTTTAGAGTGATAGTGTATGTAATAGAGCTGCACTGCTTTCCATTTCAGCCTGGTAAGTTTATTTTTTGTCTTGTTTTAAGTTCTAAACAGATGAAAAACCACAGTGACTGTTTTATATTCACCGCACAGTGAAGGCCTCGCATAGTTCGCAGTTTGAGCCATGTGTATCACTGCTGTCGGAAGAAAACCTCGTATCCCCATTTTTATTTATCAGTTTTTAACATAATGTGAAAATACGTGTTGCCTTTTATATTGTGTGTAAATTTCATGATGAATGGACCAAAAGAAATAGCCCAAAATTACTTCTGGAATTCTGGTTCCATTGGCTTACATTAAAAGTAAACTATGTTTTTTGCTTCTCTGGTAAAGTTATCATTTTGGAGATATGAGGTTTTGTTCTGACAGCAGCGATATACTGTGGAATCTAAATATTAAAGAGAAAAATGTTATTTTAACCTCTTAGGTTTCATCCTAAAGCCTATTATTCATGAACTACACTACAAAACAAGTGAGTCATTCTTTGTAATAAGTGTGAAGGACAGACATGTAGACCCACCAGCAGATCTTGGGCATTTAAACAACTCTTGCTGTGTTAGGGTTTTATATATATATATTTTTTGCAGTGTTGTTTGAATTCACAGTGATAAATCCTTTAGTCGCTCCATGGTGATTCCCCAGTCAGTCAACTGCTATGTAGTGAATAGTGGAACAATGGATGAGTTTGGGTCAGATCACACTGACCCAACCAAGTCCAACATGTAATGCTGGTTGTTGCTGTTTTAGCATGTTTAGAAAAAGAACTGATAAACCAAATGAACCAGTGTGTATAAATGGTAGAGAGCATTCTAGAACAATGTGAAAGGGGGAGAACATTTTTAGAAGCATGCAAATGATGCAGAACATTCTAGAACAGTGGGGAAAACACTAGAAAAGCATGAATGGGTGAAAACATTCCAGAATCGTGTGAATAGTGGAGAACATTCTAGAACAGTGTGAATGGGGGAAAAACATTCCATACTACTGTAAATTGTGGAGAGCATTGTAGAACAGTGTGAATGGTAGAGAGCATTCTAGTACTAGGAATAGACGAGAACATTCTTGAACAGTTTTAATGGGAGAATACTCTAGAACAGTATGAACATGGGAAAATGCTCTAGAACGATGTAAATAATGGAGAACATTCTAGAACAGTGTAAATGAGAAGAACATTCTTGAACAGTGTGAATGGGGGAGAACATTCTAGAATTATGTGAATGGGAACAACATTTTAGAAAAGTGTGAATGCTGGGGAACATTTTAGAACAGTAGAAATGGGAAAAACACTAGAACAGTATGACTGAGTGAAAATATTCTAGAACAGGGCAAATGGGGGAGAACACACTAGAACAAAATAAACATGTAAACATCTAGTACAGTGTGAATGGGTAAAAACATTCAAGAACAATGTGAATGAAGGAGAACACTGTAGAACAGTGTGAATGGAAGAGAACACTTTAGAACAGTGTGAATGGAGGAGAACATTGTAGACCAGTATGAATGAGGAGAATGTTCTAGAACAGTGTAAATGAAGGAGAACATTGTAGAACAGTGTGAATGAGGAGAATGTTTTAGAACAGTATGAATGAAGGAGAACATTGTAGAACAGTGTGAATGAGGAGAATGTTTTAGAACAGTGTGAATGAAGGAGAACATTATAAAACTATATATATGGAGAAGAACACTAGAACAGTGTGAATGGAGGAAATTATTGTAGAACATTGTGAATGGAGAAGAACACTAGAACAGTGTAAATGAAGGAGAACATTATAAAATTATATATATGGGAGAGAACACTCTAGAACAGTGTGAATGGAAGAGAACATTGTAGAGCAGTGTGAGTGAGGAGAATGTTTTAGAACCGTGTGAATGAAGGAGAACATTATAGAACAGTATATATGGAGGAGAACACTCTAGAACAGTGTGAACGGAGGAGAACATTGTAGAATGGTGTGAATGAGGAGAATGTTCTTGAGCAATGTGACTGGAGATAACATTCAAGAACATTATGACTGAGTGAAAACATTTTAGAACAGTGTGAATGGGGAGAACACGCTAGAACAGAAGGTACAAGAAAACATTCTAGGACAGTTTGAAGGGGGCACGGTAGAACAGTAAGAATGGGGAGAATGTTCTAAAGTCTCCCAGCAATCACACACACATATGGCACGAGAACCAAACAGCAGTGTTTGTTGGTGGTCGTTGGGTCGGCGTGTTCTGGCCTTTAATCAGTGACTCATTCTGAACACAACGTCTGTCTGTCTGTCTGCTTTTACTTCTTCTTCTGATGATACTTCACTGGTTTTTATTGCTCGATGTGGTTCTGTTTCAGAATAATGTGTCTGCACAAGGGTAGCAGCAACTCTGACACTTCAGTTCTGTGACTCGAATGAAAATGAAAGAAGCGTTCACTATCCATAGTGAGTGAAACTGTTTTTACAGTCATTTAGATCCACCATTAGACACAGATCTAAATGGTCAGAGTTCAGCTGGCTGCTGCGACTGCAGCACGCATTTTCTGTCTAGATTTATTAAGTCTGTGCTTCTGTTACATAATTGATGCAGAGTGCAAAAATGTGTGAGTG